AGTTGGGCTATTTCTGTGTAACCTGCAAAGTGGGTTTTCAAGATTATATAAACATCAAAATGCAAGTGTTTTCTCGTATTCATCTTTCAATATATCTACTCGAAAACATGACTGGTGGTTCTCAAATTTTATTAGACTTGAAGATTTAAGAAGGTCTCACGAAAATTTAGTACAAAATGACTAAAGTTTTTAAAGATGTACATCCAAAAGGATGCTTTCAAGAAGAAAACCATATCTGACAGAAAGAACAGTTATTTTGATGGATAAGGCAGAAATGATTATAGACTGACCTCCAGCACATGCATCGTGCAGAGGAATCGCTCCATCTTCATCCTTTGCCTCCAAATTAGCTCCCCTTTCCAACAAAAACTGCATGGATTTATACACTAGTGAGTTTTAAGTAGTACATGAGATAAAACTAAAGCCGATAATTAAATATTAATAAACTAACACAAAAGGATGAGAAAAAAAGGTTGATAGCATTTTATCTAATTCAGTTGAATGAGATCATTTGACCTGGACGCAGTTCAAATGTCCATAAAGACATGTCAGATGAAGAAGAGTGTCGCCATCTTCCATTGGTTCATCAATGTTGCCGTCAAAATTCTCTGCATATTTGTCCATGAAATCTCAATAAGGATCAGTACACAGAGTAAGGCTAGTTTGTTTAGATAGCTCTGTGACATGTAAAATTCAAGCTCAAAAAAACAAATCAATGGTCCATTAGAAAGCAGCAAGAAAGTAAAGCAACAAACATGTGGTTCAGTAGATCATCTTAAAACACCCACAAAACTATAGCCTGTGATGGGAAAGGGAACCATGTATAACTAACAACAAAATTAACTCAACTTCTTCAAATCAAAAGCTTCAACGATAATGGTGGGTTTCTCACTCACTAGTCCTAAGAAATTCATCCAACGAGCCTTTAACTAACAGTATAGATCAAAATAATCGGACATACATACAGTAGTTTCCACCTGCAACAATTTACTCTAACAAACTAGCAGAAAAATTTATAGCAACATTAACCACAAAGTTGTCGTTTGCATCAAACGAAAACTGAAACTGCAACTAATATCTTCGTTCCTATGATGAAAAACCATTGAGCCAGCTTTTCAGAGAAAAAATATGACTGTTATCAGTAGCATCTGAAGTGTCTGGATGAAATCAAACAAGACGATCATTGAAGTTCAAATGCTTTTGGTACAACTACACATCCTATTCGTCCACAATTGGCAAATAGAACAGAAATATCACATAAAATTTCAGCTACACACCTAAACACATATATCCATTTCCGAATCCAAATCGCACGCTCTTTCCCGAGCATCACTAAACTCGTTGCAGATAATCGAATTGTAGGAGCACAACGCGCGCGCGCGCGCACACACACACACACAGTAAAGGCACATCAAATTTCCAGCATGCGTAATAGTGAATAAACAGCTGCGGTTACCTAGGGCTAAGCGGAGGGCGTTCAGATCGCCGGACTCGGCGGCGGAGACGAGCGGACGGAGGCGGAGAGGAATGTCTGAGTGCTCGATATCGTCTTCCTCAGCCAAATTCATACCTTCTTCGTCGAATAGTGCGGCAGCGTCCTCATCGCCGCCGTCTCTCTGACGGTCAGGCGCCGGCATTTGTCACTGACTTCGATTCTCTCTCTCGAAATAAGCGGCGATCAAGTAGCACGTTTGCGCCAAGCCTAGGGTGGGATTTTATACCATAGAACCAATAACTGAACCCAAGATAACCGGTTCGGTCCGATTATT